AGGACCTTTGTCAACAGAAGCACATCGATAACGCCGACTTGAGTTTGCTAGAGACCATGAGCATTGGACGATAGAAGATTGGAAAAATGTTTTGTTTTAGTGATGAGTAAATGGTTCTTTATGGATCAGACGGTCACATTAAAACGTGCAGCAGACATAAGAAACGATATGCTGCTTGTGCTTGACGTGCACGTGTTACTTTTGGAGGAGGCTCTGTAATGTTTTGGCAGGCATTTAATTCAAAAGGCGTACTGATCTCGTGTTTACTAAAAGAGGAGCATTGAATGCTTATCGATACATTACCGAAATTCTAGACGAGCATACAATGCCTTTTGCTAGGTTTGTGGGCGAAAACTTTATTTTCATGCAAGACAACGCGTAATCACACGTAACCAGGAAGGTAACGCAATACCTAGAAAACCGTCAATTTGCCAAAAATGAATTGGCCAACTCAAAGCCCAGCTTTGAACCCGATTGACCATGTTTGGGACCAACTCAAACTAATAGTAAGAAACAGATAGTAGCTCCAATAAATCGTAAGCAGCTTCGATTTTTGCTCATGAAAGAATGGGAAGCTTTTCCCCAAGACAACATCCAGAATTTAATAAATTCCATGCCAAGTCGAATGAGAAGTGTAATTCAAAAATAGAGGTAGTAATACAGAATATTAAAAATCACGACTTTATTGTAATTTTTATAAAGAAAACAAAAAATTTACAATGTTAATTTTTAAAAATTTTGGATTAAAATCATCATTTTGGCAGAAGTTTTTTTTGGATATTTTTTATTTAAGAAATGGTAAACTGCCTTACATTTTGAACACTTACTGTAATTTTTATTTTATGTCCTTAGTCATTAATTTAATTTTCTTCTTGTGAATTTTGTTTAATTACTAACAATTTTATACAGCATGAATTATACTTCATAATTTTCAAATCAAAATATTCCGAAAACGGTACACAGTACCTATCGAGTTTTACCAAGAGTTACCTTTTTCGTGTAAAATTGAATGATGTTTAAGTTTACTTGAAATTTTGATTAATAATTATACTCTTAAAAAAGTTATATTGACTAATATTTAGTACGATCCGTGTAACTAGCGCCCTCTATAAGAATCAGATATAAAAACAAATTCATGGGATGTATCAGCTTCCAACACATATTCGTATAAAATTTCATTACAATGTTGCCAGTAGTTTCGACAAAATCGTAAAAATGCGTAATTTTTTTTATTCAACGCCCTGTATCTTGAAAACGGATGGCGTTATAAAAATTTTTTACTAAGCAAACCCCAATTATTTTTCAGTTTTTTTACCTACCCTAGAGACGGGGTTACCTTTTTTGAAACACCCTGTATAACTACTAGACAAGTAGGCTAGTAAACGTCTATGTCGACTTTCCGCTGGGTATGCCATGAATTAGTGCATCCAATTACTCATCTAGTATTTTAAAAATGTCGATAGACAGTTCGCCTTTTTAGAAGATTTTTTTGATTTCGTGCGGTCTTTAATGTATGTAGCATTTCTTTCTTTATAACTTATGTACTTGTTTCTTTTTCGTCGAAAGATATGGTGCTGTAGGTTGTCATTTTCATCTTCGAGCAGCTCTTTAATGTTTTCAACCGTCATTATTATCGTAGGCATATTCCTCGATGTCCAGAAGGCTTTCGATCAGGTCTGGCACGCAGGCTTGATCGAGAAACTCCACCTTGCTGGACTGCCAACACCTTTCGTTAAACTAATAATTTCCTATCTCTCTCATCGGACGGTTCGGATCAAAATAGGAGAGCACCTCTCCACTCCATTCACTCCTCAAGCAGGAGTACCCCAAGGCTCAATACTTGCTCCAATATTATACACAGTCTACATTAGCGACATCCCCCGCCCACAGCAGGGATCAGAGTCTCTACTCCTATTCGCTGATGATACAGCCATTCTCACCTCAGGTTCCTACAGGGAAGGAGAGCGATGGTCTGTATTCGAGAAATCGCAAGACTACCTTGATAGAGTCGTGAGGTGGTGCAACAAATGGAGGGTCACTTTATACCCCTCCAAAACCCAAGCAATCTTATTCAGACCTCCTTACGGACGTGGCCTCCAGGGCCGGGTGACACTTTTGGGAAAGTACCTTATTCTCAGGAACTCAGTTCTCTACTTGGAGTTCGTTTTACGAGAACTCTCAATTGTAAGGCTGACGTCCAAGAATCCCTTGACAGGATGAGAAAAAGGCTCAACCTCCTGAAAGTGCTAGCCGGTAAACTAGGAGAAACGTCCTCTAACACATTGTTGCACACCTACAAGACTTTCATCAGACCGATAATCGAATACAAGGCATGCGTTTACCTCTCCCTGAGGAATCACGAACTCAACGCCATTACTGCCACCGAGCGTAGAATCCTACGCTTCTGCATGAGAAAAGATTGGCTGTATCCATCAGCCCACATATGTGCACTAACCACCATCACGCCAATTAAGGACAGAATCCTAACCCTCAGTAGGAAGTATGTCTTAAGAACCATAGCTGGCTCGAACAACCGAGCAAAACAAACATTAAAGACACCTTGTTCACATAGAGGGCAAATAATCTGAGCTGCATAATCTTTATTTACGCATTGTTTTATATAATATATAAAATATAGATTATTAATATCCAATATGTTTTACGTAATAAAATTCTCTCGAAAGATACGCATTATCTCATTTCATTGTATTTTAGAAAACATGACTTCACTGACGATCTAATCAAATTCTCAATAACAATGTAATATGTATTATCTGTTTTTTTTTTCTCTACTCCAATTATTGTATTAATTAATTGAAATGCCTATAGATACAATAAAAGTTTGCAAGAATATTATGCAGGAGCAGGAGCATGACTACGTATTGCAAATTAGTGCACGTCTATGCATTGATAAGTTTCTGATGTACAGCACTGGTTTCTATATCATGAAGGCCTTCCGTAGCGAAGCTACGTAAAAAGGTTTACGTGTCCTATTTTCTCTCCATCTAGTCAAAGCTGACGCTGATCTAAATTCACCTTTCCAACTGGCATTTCTTTTACTCCAGTCTTCCGGGACGAAAATACCATTGAACTTCTAAAAATCATAGTCAATGAAAGTGATAAATTTGATTGATCTCATGAGATCAAGAAAAAACCAAATGTATGACATCTGAATACCCACTGCGATGTAAAATCGAAATTGATGGGAGAATAAAGCAGGAAGTAAGGTTTAGATATCTGGAAATAGATATAAATAGTTACGAAGATGTTGAAGAAGTACAACAATAAAGCTTAAAAGCAAGTTAAGTGGCGGATCTCTTAATTACACAATCTGGAAGTACAAAGACTTAGGACAAGACACTTCTTCTTAAGGTGCCTTCTCCATTACTGAAGGTTGGCTATAACTACAGCAAATTGCTCTCTATCTTCAATCTCCGTGAATATCAAATTATTCACGGAGATTGCGTAGCTACGAGATTTTACGTCTTCCTACGCTTCTTCTGCCTTTGATTTTACCCTGCATTATATTCCTTAGTAGTTCGTATTTTTTACCTCTCATGATGTGCCCCAAGTATTCCAATTTCCTGATTTTTATGGAATTTAAAACTTTTTTCGATGAATTGAAAAATAGGTCAACGGCGTAAGGATGCAAAGGGCAATGGGAAACCACTGCATTAAAGACTCCTAACATGCCCCTAGTAAAGTCATGAATGGCAAATGACAAGTAGAGTTATAATGATGGGGATCGGCATTACCAGCATAGTATATTACATGGTTATCGATGTTTGTCTGTCCAGATCCACGCCATTTAACTGTAACTTTAACTGACTCCGAGAATGTTGACTCACATTCCATTCATTCCTCTCACGATGTTATGAGATTTTCCTGGCATAAAGAGAGATTTTGCATTCCAGTTCCAATTTTTAACTTATAATTTTTGTTTTTCACTTTCGAGTGGTTCCTAGCATTTGTCGTGGGAATTCTTAGCACCCCTTGACCATCTAAGGTCTGCCACGGACTAGGGGTCTTTTGTTTTCCTTAACTTGCCATAGTTATAATATCTTGGGAATATTTAATGTGTTGGTTTCTCCTTGCCTGACACACCGTAGTCTTATAACTGATTACACCAAAATTACCAAGTCATTATATGATAAAACCCGAAGGACCTGCTCTAATAAAAACGCAGTTCATGAAGAAAAACGTGCATACAAAGGTTTTGAAGAAGAATGACTAGCCATGGTCATTTATTAACAAGGAATACCACAAGATTAAAGAAAGAAAATAACAAAACAGCACGAGCAATTCAGAAACATTCACAAAAAGGGAGTCAGGGATGACAGCAATACCATATGTAAAGAGCTAATCAGAAAAATTGAATAGGAGATTCAATTGAGAATTGAAAAGGTAAATAGGAAGAACACAAAACTTTTGGTTTATTCGTCTTCCGGGTTTGGACCGTGTCATTTGTGAGTGACCCAAAAGTGGGTTCATCTCGACGTTTCGCTACAATTGTATGTAGCTTCTTCAGAACAAAGAAAAAGAAAAAGAAATCAAAAAACAGGAAGATGGGTAGCAACGGTAACTCAGTTACTCAACGCAACCAGAGGCGAATACTAACTACCAAGATGGGCATTTGGTCACAGTAACTCAACTACTCAACGCAGCCAGAGGTGAAAACCAAATGCCAGGACAGGAATTCACGTCCAACAGCTCAGAACACTAACGCGTCGAGAGGCGGGGAGTGAATCCGGGGATTCACTCCCCTGATGTTTATTTCAATATTGGTTAATATCTCCATCAGCTGTCATATTTAACTCTAAAATATCTATCTGAGAGGTATGATGTTAATAAAGTATAATAATTGAGTGATAAAGTACTCTTGTACAATGGCAGAACAATATATGATTGCATTGATTAATACATGATGAATTGATAATGATTATATTGATGATTAATAATGATTTATTTGAAACAAAAATTTAAATTTTTTTTATTTTCAGGTTCCATTTGATTCGAGGCGTTTAGTTTTCCCTCCAGTCCCAGCAGCTTTTATACTTTACATTATTTATAGCGTACTAAGCCTTGTTATTCCCGAGTCAAAACAATTTTTAACATTGGCAGGCGGTGTAGCAGGTTAGTAGTTAAAGTTTATTTGGTACTGAGAGAGAGAGAGAGAGAGAAATAGAAAAAGAGAGAGGGAGAAAGTAATAAATGACTTTTAAGTGACCATCTCTTAGATGTACATGTTTATACCGTTTATTATAATACGTCTATAAGGTATTCGATTTATATTTGCTAAAGGTGACGATAATGAACCATCAACAACAGGGGTTGAAAAACAACAAATGAAGAAATAAATATTAAGGAGGAAGAGTAAAGGAATTACCTCTTCCTTAAATTAAAAAAATAAAATCTAACAGGACAGGACGGAATACCGAACGAACTCCTAAAGTACGGTGAACCATATCTGACCAAACAACTAATGGGTTTTCCAATAGGGACATCCTGTTTTTGAAATATCATAGCGGCCATTTTAAAAATGGAAGAACTGTCACTTGTTGACGTTTGGATTTAGTATCATCATCATCATCCAGCCTCAAGAGTCCACTGCTGAACATAGGCCTCTTCCTCATGCTTCCAACCCTGTCTATATTGCGCCACTCTTATCCAGTTTTTATTGAGTCTTCTTAAATCGTCAGTCCATCTTGTAGGTGGTCGACCGACGCTTCTCTTGTCTTCTCTTGGCCTCCATTCCAATAACCTCTTTGTCCATCGCCCATCTGTCATTCTGGCTATGTGTCCTGCCCATCTCCATTTTAGTCTGGCTATCTTCTCGATGGTGTCAGTCACTCCGGTTCTTCTCCTGATGTCTTCGTTTGTTATTCTGTCTCGGAGAGTTATTCCTAACATGGACCGCTCCATTCTTCTCTGCGTGACTCTCAGTTTGGTAGCTGCTGCTTTTGTTAAGATTAGTGTTTCTGCTCCGTACGTCAAGACTGGGAGGACGTACTGATCAAATACCTTTCTCTTTAGGCATGTGGGCAGCTCACTTTTAAAAGTTTCTCTTAGTTTTCTAAATGCTGCCCACCCAAGGCCGACTCTTCTCTTCAGTTCATGAGTCTGGTTATCTCTGCCAATCATAATTTCATGTCCCAGGTATTTATATCTATCTACGAGTTCTATTTCTTTCCCACTAATACTGATGTTCTGGTTGGGCACCAAATTGGTCATGATTTTTGTTTTCGAGATATTTATATTTAAACCTACATTTTCTCTAGCCACAATGAGTTCCTCTACCATCTCTCTTGCCATACCTAGATCTTCAGCTATTATAAGTATATCATCGGCGAAACGTAAGTTGTTTAGATATTCTCCATCTATTTTTATTCCCTTTGTCATCCAATCCAAATTCTTAAAAGCATGTTCTAGCACCGTATTAAAAAGTTTAGGTGACATTGGGTCTCCTTGTCTAACCCCCCGTTCTATTTTTATGCGATTACTGTTAGTATGTAATCTGACAGTGGTTGTTGCCTGCAGGTATATTTTGTATAATAATTTAGTATATCTATAATCTAGCCTGCATTCTTTAAGTGCCTGTAATATTTTGCTTAGCTCAACTGTGTCAAAGGCTGTGTGAAAATCGATAAATATTAGAACTAGAGGTTTATTGTATTCCACTGCTTTTTCTATTAGGGTTTTTATACTTTGTAGATGGTCATTTGTTCCGTAACTTTTTCGGAATCCTGCCTGTTCCCTTGGTTGATAAGTCTCTAATTTTCTTTCCATTCTCTTAACTAGTATTCGCGTAAACAACATATATATGGATGAGGAGGCTAATCGGTCTGTAATTCTCTAAATTTGCTTTATCTCCTGCTTTTAGAAAAGTTAAATTTTTTCAAGTGATACATCCCCTCCAATTTTTAGTGTTTCTGATACTATTCCATCTTCACCCGGGGTTCGATTATTTTTCATTTTCTTCAGGGCTTCTTTGATTTTTGATTTTGTTATATCGGCATCAAATCTGATCCTTGGTTTAATACCCCAGTTTTTAGTGCAATTGGAGGTTCCGTATTGTTACCTTTTTTTCTTGATCTATATAACTCTGTGTAGAACTCTTCGACTATTCTTAATATTTCATCTCTGTTCGTTGTTTCTTCTCTAGTTCTGTTTCTCAGTTTGTTAATTTCTATTTCCGTCTTTTGTACGCTCCTCTTCAAAACTTTCATGTTCTTATTTTTCTCTATTGCCTGTTTTGTTTTTTCTACATTGTAGTTTCTTATGTCTTTTCTTATTGCCTTTCTGATCGTCTTATTTATTTGATTTATCGCTTCTTTGCTTGCAGTGTTATCTCCTTTCATTTGTCGCCTTAGTTCTCTAAGGGTTTTCGTGGGTTGACTCAGTTTTTCATCTTTTTTGCTTGTCGGACAATATTTAGTTTGAGCCTGTTGCATTGTGTTGACTATTTGTTTGTTCAATATATTGATGTCAGCAGCTATTTAGTATACCCATACAAATTACCATGGCAAGATATACGCTTGAACAACGTTTGGAAATTATCCTAAAATTTTATGCTAATAATCGTTCTTTTGTGAATACCTATCATGCATTACGTGAAAGTTATGGACGAAATCATCGTCCTGATTTGCGTCTAAGTCGTCGAATCGTAGAAAAGTTTAAACGTGAATTTACTCTGCACGATACGAAACCACCAACTAGACGCCGAAATGCAAGAACTAATAACAATATTGCTGATGTAAAAGATAGTGTAGCGGAGTATGCAAATGTGTCCGTAAATCGTCGTTCTCAAGAACTTGGACTCACCAGAATGACTTAGCTTAACTTAGCGAATTCTGAGAAAACATTTAGACCTACACCCTTACGTGATTGATCTGACTCAAGAACTTAAGCGACTCGACCATCATAAGCGTCGTTTGTTCGCTGATTGGGCTCCAGATAAATTCGAAAATGATGTCGATTTTTTCAAAAAAATAATCTTTTCCGAAGAAGCTCATTTTTGGTTAAACGGCTTTGTGAATAAGCAAAATTGTCGTTTTTGGAGTGAAAATAATCCACATGAGATTCTTGAAAAGCCTTTGCATCGAGAAAAGTCACTGTCTGGTGTGGTTTATGGCATGGTGGCATCATCGGACCTTATTTATTCAAACACGGTGTAACAGTCAACGGTGAAAGGTATCGAACGATTTCTGCCCCAACCATTGATTTATTGAAGGAAAAGTTCCCGGAAACATTGATTTCTCTTGATGCCAGAGATTCCAGGAAAATTTAGCAACTTCGACCAGATGCTTGGCCTCCAAGAAGCTGCGATTTAACACCGTTGGATTATTTTTTATGGGGCTGTGTTAAGTAATTGGTCTATGTGAACTAAACACAATCTATTGAAGACTTGAAGGGGAAAATAGAGTACACCATGTGTGAGATTATTGCGGATATTTTGCATAAAGTGGCCTTAAATTTGGTTCATCGGATTCGCTCCTGCAAACGTAGTCGTAGTTGACATTTGAATGATGTATTATTCGGAATATAATTGTTAGTTATTATATTTTGCAATAAAAAAATTTTTTTGATTCACAGCGATTTTTACCATTTTCGTTTAAGAAAAACATCAGGACATTCTTATTGGGAGACCTCTTATTAAAACTAATCCAAAAAATATTAGAACAAAACAGAATTCCTCAGGAATGGAGATCAGGCATCCTAATACCTCTTTTCAAAAAGGGAGACAAGTCGGATCCGAAAAATTACAGAGGAATTAATTAATTAAAGTGATAAAAAATAAACTAAGTGAAATTATAACGCTAATAGAAAAACAACGAGGATTTAGGTCGGGAAGATCATGCACGGATGCTTATTTATAATGAGGCAAGTTTTTGTTGTATTCATTAGAATAAAACAAACCGAATTATCTATGTTTCGTGGACCTGAAGGATGCATTTGACTGGGTTAAATTAAAGGACATTATCCACTTATTGTATGCAAGAAAGATGTCTCTATGAATAATATGAATAATCAGAACTAATCGAAAATATCTACTAAAACAACGCAATAAAAGTAAAAATAGAAGAATTGACTTATTGAAGCTGGCAATGGGATAAGACAAGGAGATTCCCTGAGTCATCTATTGTTCAACCTGATTATGGATTAAATAATAAAGAAAGGAAGAACTGAAAAAGGATATCAAATGGAAGAAAAACAACTTAAAATTATCTGCTATGCAGACGACGCAATTCTACTCTCTCAAAGTGAAGATGATTTACAACGAATGCTGCACCAATTTAAAAATAAACGTCAGAAAATTTAACATGTTGATTTCCCCAAAAACGACAAAATGCATGGTTATACAGCAAATTTACTAAGATGTAAATTCAGTCAGATAATAGAACAAGTGATGGAGTTTGAATATCTAGGCATCTAGGCTATGGAAATCTCGAAACAGAAGTTAAAGAGCAAGTGAATACAGCAAATAGAGCCGAGGGTTGCCTGAATTAACCAATAGGAAGAAATAAAAATATCATAAAGAAATCAAAGGCAGAATTTACAAAACAGTCATCAAAACAATAATGACATACGCAACAGGAACATGACCTGAGATAGAGAGGACAAAAAGAATGTTAGAAACAGCAAATATGAAAACTCTTAGAAGAATTGATGATAAAACACCATAGGACAGAGATGCAAGGTAAAGAACATGAAGGACTAGGTAAGAAATGGATGAGCAGAATAGAACAATCATATAAGCAGAATGACAACAAATAGAGTGTGTTAAAGACCGTAAGAGACGTTCCCTAATAGGAAGACCATCTGTAGGAATAGTAGGAAGACCACGAAAACGATAGAACAACAATTTACTGGAGTCACATTGAAAAACAGACCGAGTCATGTCTCTTTAAAAAGAAAAGAGAAATATATAATACGTAAATAAGATGCGGGTAGCGGGTAGGAACTCCTTTGGAGTCCCTTGGATTCTATTGGATAGTCCTATCAGGGAAAGTGAATCAATCCCTGCCCTCCGCAGATTCCAGGAACTTCTTGACCCGGAAAGCTAGCACCTGCTAAGGGTCCCTTGTCCAGGGTCACGGATGTGTCCAGAACGGCATCCAAGGCGATGAAGAATACTTTCGATACGGCGAAGATGGCGGAGCTGGCAACCCTTGACTGTAGGGATAGTATAAGATCACAAACTGTAGCGTCTGATCCAGAATGGACGGCTACGAACAGCGCCTGATCCAGAATGGACGGCTGAATACACACTCACCAACACGTCTGGCCAGCGCGATGTTTTAAGGCTAATAACCTCCCCAAAATGATGGCGAATTCTAAAACGATATGAGTAAGTCCTCAGGTGGATAGATCATACAGTGTTGGCAAGTCCCACTCCTTTATATAAAGGACAGTTTCATGGAATCTGGGGGAAGCAAGAAATCGCTAAAAACAACAAACTTGAATATAGCAACACTCAATGTAAGGTCCTTAAACAGAGATGAAAAAATCTATGAGCTAGAAGAAGAAATAAAGGACCTAAAGTGGGACATAATTGGTCTCGCAGAGGTAAAAAGGAAAGGTGAGGACCGCATAACATTGCAATCAGATAACATCTTGTATTACAAAGGGCACAAAGAACAAAGTCTAAACGGCGTAAGATTTCTGGTTTCTAAGAAACATGCTAATAAAATAGAACAATATGTGGGAATCTCAGTAAGAATTGCAATGATTGTGATGAATATAAACGAGAAAATCACCCTAAAAATCATTCAAGTGTACGCCCCTACTTCAACACACCCCGATGAAGAGATAGATGAGTTCTACGAGAAAATAATAGAAACCAACACGAACTATCACAGCACTTATACACTTATAATAGGAGATTTCAACGCTAAGATTGGAAAACGACTAGAAGAAAGTGAAAACTATATTGGTGAATTCGGCTATGGTGTTAGAAATGAGAGAGGAGAAACCCTGGTTAACTTCCTATATAGCAACAAATATTTGGTAATGAACACATTTTATAAGAAAAAACCGCAAATAAAGTGGACGTGGTTATCACCAGACGGAAAAACAAGGAACGAAATCGATTACATCATGTGTAACAAGAAAGGTATCGTAGAAGATGTAACAGTAATAAATGATGTCTCTCTGGGTAGTGATCACAGAATGGTTAGAGCTAAACTAAGGATTAAGTATAGCAAACGTAGAATTAACTTTAATAACACGATACAAATAGACACAGAAAAGCTAAAAGTCGATAAAGAAAAATATTCTAGTAAATTAAAAACTGCCCAAGCACTGAATCTAGAACAACTCAGCGTTAATGAAATTAACTCAGTTATAACAAAAGACTGAAGACGATGATCGATGAGCTTCATACGGAATCCATAAAAAAAGGACTGAAAATGAATCTGAGTAAAACTAAGTTAATGCCGAATAAAGATGATCAACCGACGATAACCATCCAAGGAACAAAAGTGGAACATGTAGAAGAATACATATATCTGGGTCAGAATATCAAGGTAAACAAAGAAAACCAAACTAAAGAAACAAGCAGACGAGTAAGAATGGAATGGGCCGCATTTGGACAACTCTCATACATACTGAAAAACAAAAAGATACCCCAAAACCTTCGAACCAAAGTGTTCGATTCTTGTATCCTTCTCGTTCTTACTTACGGAGCTCAAACCTGGACATTCACAAAAAAGAACATGGACAAGATTCGAAAAACTCAGCGAGCCATGGAACGACAGATGCTTGGTATCTCACTAATAGATCGGCAAACGAACGAAGCAATCCGAAACAAAACAAAAATAAAGGACGCCGCGAAACAAGCAGCTAAATTAAAATGGAAATGGGCTGGACACAACGAACGTCTTGAAGATGGTAGATGGAACAAAGAAGTCGGAAACTGGCGACCGTACGATGCGAAGAGACCAAGAGGAAGACCTCAAATGCGCTGGAGCGATGATATCAAAAGAGTCGCAGGACCAATGTGGAAACGCCTAGCACACAACAGGGATGAATGGCGAGAAATGGGAGAGGCTTTTATTCGACAATTCGGATAGAAAAAGGGCTATAAAAAAAATAAGATATTCCCGTGTATTATTTTTAAGTTTTGTGAACCTCGATAACCCATGTAATACAACATATCCATTTAAATCAAGGGAATATAAAAGAAATGTTATTTGGTTTTGATTAAAAATTGGAGAATATGAGTTTTGCAGTTAAACTCCTCATATAATGGGCAGGACTTTTTAATTATTTTAACATTCAATTTTTTTTTTAGGTTATGTTGTATATGACATGATCCACTTCTACCTTCATCACGGAGCACCAAAGGAAAACAGTTATTTTTATCACCTAAAGCGATATCACAATCAGCATCATTTCGCCCACCATGACAACGGTAAGATTTTTATGTAGTATAATATTATGTAGTATTTAAAAAATATATATTAAAAACATTTTAAAATATTAAACCTTTTACTGTGGAAGATCTATCAACGGTATTTTCTAGGTCCAACACAACTGCATCACAGTTCTTTTCTTGTTTGTTTTCCTATTCCTTACACAAAAATTATTAATTTGTTAAACCATCATCAAGATTATAACGACACGCTTGGTAAACAAAACTGAAGTACTACCAAACTAAAGAACTAGCTGGATTTCACTCAGGCTTTGGCACAAATGGCCAAGTTTCAAGCTCCTAATCGAAAAGACTATCGAGTACACCACACCAATATTTCTTTCGTCAGCTTTCATAAGGCTTTTGACACCATTGGCCTAAACAGCATCCAAGAAGTACTGAAATGCCGAGTTATCGAATGTTTCATGAAATATACAATGGAGAGATATAGCGATAAATATACTTCTTCTTCTTTAAGTTCCATCTTCTATCGAAGGTTGGAAATCATCATGGGTATGCGGACTCTGTTGACTGCCGCTCTAAAAAGTTCTGCACTACTGCATTCAAATCATTCCCTTAAGTTCTTAAGCCAGGATATTCTTCGTCTTCCCACATTTCACTTTCCTCGGATTTTGCCCTGCGTAATAAGTTGTAATAATGCGTATTTTTGCCCTCTCATCACATGTCCCAAGTACTCAAGTTTTAATAGTTAATATTATTTCCGCCTCATTTCCTATCCTTCTAGTTACTTCCATGTTTGACATTCTTTGAATCCATGATATTCGTAGGATTCTTCTGTAACACCAAAATTCAAAGGCGGCCAACTTATTCAGATGAACTTGTTTTAGTGTCCAAGCTTCCAAACCATAAAGAAGAGTAGAGAACACGTAACATCGAAGCATTCTCAGGGGTAGTTCTAACCTTATATCCCGACAACAAAGAAACTTTTTAAGTTTAATAAATGATGTACGTGCTATTTCAATACGTGTCTTAATTTCTTTGGTTTGGTCTACATCTGATGTTATCCGCAGTATATTCAATAGTCAATTGGATATTTGCATGTGCAGATTTAGTCATGATCATGGATTTAGTTTTCTTTAAATTTATCTTCAGTCCGTACTCATGACAGCGTTCATTAAGGCGTTGCATTACGTTCTGTAAATCATTGTTGTTATCCGTAATTATTCCTGTATCGTCTGCAAAACGTAAGTTATTCAAAACTTCTCCATTGATAGATATACCTTTTATTGAGTCTGAGAGCCCTTCTTGAAATACCGCTTCACTGTAGACATTGAAAAGTAGTGGGGACAGCACGCAACCCTGGCGGACTTCTCTCTGTATTTTGATATTTTCGGTGTACTGGCTGTCAACTCTTACCTTGGCAGTTTGATTCCAATATAAATTAGATATAATTTTCAGATCACGACTGTCAATATTTTTGCTTTTTAATATATCTACAAGCTTTTTATGTTGAACTTTATCAAATGCTTTTTCAAAGTCTACAAAACATAAGTACATATCCTGATTTATGTCCATGCATCTCTGAGCCAGCATATTCAAGCCGAACATAGCATCTCTTGTACTCATACCATTTCTAAAGCCAAATTGTGTGTCACTAATCTCATATTCAAGAGTTTTAACAATTCTGCTATGAATTATTTTCAAAAATGTTTTAAGTGTGTGACTCATTAAAGCTATTGTTCTGTGGTCTGAGCAAGTTGTTGAACTTGGTTTTTTGGGAATTGCTACAAAGGTTGATTGCAGCCATTGTCTGGGGATTGTGGCAGTCTGATATATTAGATTAAAAAGTTCAACCTTTACATTAATAACATCTTCATCGATGAGTTTTAATAATTCGATGGGCACCTCATCTGGTCCAGTAGCTTTACCCTCTTTTGTGTTTTTGATGGCATAGATGATTTCTTCTCTTAATATTGGTGGTCCGGTATCCTCGGTGATTTCTAATGACAGTTCTCTTTCATCATTAAATATTTGTTGAATGTAATTGGTCCAGTGACATAATCTCTCCTTCATATCAGTAATAATATCCCCTTTATCATTTTTAAGGATATTCGTTTTTGTACACTTTCTAGAACCTGTCATTTCTTTGATTTTTTTGTGTAAATTAAAGCTATCGTACTTTTTATCCAGATCTTCTATTTCCTTGCATCTGTCGGAGAGCCACCTCTCTTTTGTCTCTCGAATTTTCTTTCTGATGTTTCTCTGAATTTCTTTGTATTTATTCAGGTCTTTTGCTTTATGTTTTCTTCGTTCTGCCATGAGTTCAAGAATTTCTACTGTCATCCCAGGTTTTGTTTTTTCTTTAAGTGGTTTGAGGGTTTATTTTCCAACTGACACAAGGGCATGTTGAATTTTTCCCCATTTTTGGTCAATAGTTAGAGTTTCTGCATTATCTTCTTTGACTTTCCTTAAGCTCTCGTTTATTTTAAATTTGGTTTACACATATGTGTTGTCTTTTTGAGATGTCTTGTATCTATGATTCTCTTGGTGCTAGGGCTGTTGACCTTCTTTAGTTTCACTCTCATCGACAAAACAACCGGGTTGTGGTCGGAGGATATGTCCGCTCCTGGATAAGTTTTAGATGATATTATAGAATTTCTATATCTTCTGTTGACGATAATATAATCTATTTGATTTCTGACTATTTTATTGTTATTGTCAGCTGGGAGATATATTATCTCTATAATACAGGGAGATATGTTATCTCAAAATCTTTTATGTGTCCTTAAATAGGTTTTTAAAACTGCGTTTTATCGCAATTAAAGTCAGTTTCTAAATAAATTAATGTTGTGTGATTTGCCATTTTTACGGTGTTAAGGGGGAAGGGGGCAGTAGAAATAGTAAACTTTTGTGTAGATTTTTTGGGGTCCCAAAATTACCGTTCTCAGAAAAATTCATCTTATTTAATTAACGTATTATTTTTAGAAGTTCAGTGGGATTTTCGTCTTCGAGGACTGGAGTATAAATAAATGTATTTATTTATAACAAAACTAAAGCATCTCGGTCATTGATAATGGGTTTTTTAGATGGGTCTGTTCGATTTCTGTCGGATTAAAAAAATGAAGAAAATTGTTTCATTGGAAACCGTGATTTTTTTATGTATACGGATTTTGATATTTGAAATTCAATTTGCTTCAACCTAATTTTTTTGTATTTTTCACGTGTAATATCAATCTTCTTCTTCATGTACCATGTCCTTATAGAACGTTGGTTGCCATCATAGCTATCTTAATTTTACTCACTGCCATCTAAATAGCATGCTTGTATCAACACCATACCAATCTCGCAAGTTCTTCAACCATGAGGTTCTTCGTCGTCCTGGACTGCGTTTGCCTGCTATTTTTCCTTGAATGATATTTTGTAGCAACCTATATTTGGGACCTTTCATTACATGTCCGAAATACTCCAGCTTTCTCTGCTTGATGCTTGTTATGATAGTAGATGAAGTAGTCTTGCTGAGACGTTCTAGTATTGTCGAGTTTCGAATCTTCTCCACCAAGGAAACTTTTAAAATTCTTCTATAGCACCACATTTCGAAAGTCTCAAGGCGATTTAGATCGATTTTATTCACAGTCCAGGACTCAACACCGTAAAGTCAGACTGAGAATACGTAGCAGCGAAGTAGGCGAATCCTCAATGCCAATTTTAGGTATCTGTTACATAACACCTTGGACATCCTTCTAAAAGCAGCTCTAGCCAGCTCTATCTATATCTAATTTCGCCGTGACTTTCTGCGTTACAATTTAATTGCTGTCCAAGGTAAACGATTTTATTAACTTGCTTAAGTTTGGTATTATTTACATATATAGACGGTTTTCTATGCTGTTGTTTACTTATTATGAGTATTTTGGTTTTCCGTATGTTCAGATCCATACCTGCCTCCCTAAAACTCTCAATGACACTATCAAGTAGTGTTTGAGATCGTCTTGACTAGAAGCTAGGAGTACTGTATCGTCCACATATCGCAAATTATTTATGCCGATTTATATAATACCGATGGTTTGTATTATTATATGTTATAAATATCTTGGTAATGGTAAAAAAGGTAATGGTTTAAAGATTATCATCGTATTGTTTATAAGTTTGTCGCAAATACCGGTCAACTTTGACCGGTTGTAGTATAATTTAAATATTTGAATTTGTTTAATAATCTTCCCGACCTATTTGAGAGCGAGAATAAGTCAGTTATTAATACTGAAGTTATCACCTAAGTATTTCTGCAAAAATCTGGATGCCACATCTCACATCCACCTTAAAACAGATCCGGTGGTCTAACAGGAAAATATCTTCAGAACAATATTTCTTGTTGTGTTATAATCTTATTATATTTTAATGCAATTTTCTTGATGTTTTATAGCAATCTTTTGGGACGCATATATACTTTTTTGTTATCCACTTTATACTTAAATATTCAAATTCTAAATAATTGAGAAATTATATTAAAATGTATTGGCTCCATTAATTATTTTAAATAATTGTTTCGTTTTTGTTTCAGGCTTTGGCATCAGTAGTACAATCTGGGATAAAGTTTTTGGAACAGCTATAAAATTAAGAAATTTAAAAATTGGCATCAAATGGTGAAATATTTTAAAGCGCACATTTTTGAGTATTGATTGCCTTAAGTGTTCGTCATCTGTGTGATTTTTCTTAGAATACAAAGAAAAACCTTTGATATACTATTATTTTTTGAAAACTGGTTTTTAAGAATTAAACTTTATTATTTTTATTTTAAAGAATACAGCGTTTTATTTTCCCGTTTTAATAAAAGTTTACCCTTTTAATACCTTTGTCGCTATATAATTGTTCTTTTAATTAAAATAACTATATAATAGGAAGAAGAAAGAAGAAGTAGTATGTCTTACAAAGATCATACTCCTTAAGATCATCTATATCAGGGGTGTCCAACTTGCAATGCCTCAAGGTCAAAAACTAAAACCTTTGATGTTGTCGTGGGCCATATAATAATTTTGTTACAAGTAATAACAAAATAAAGTAAGGCATAAAAATAATTAAAACATAAAAAAAAATTTCTTTTATTGCTCAACAACTACATTTTTTTATAAATGGAAAATTTATTGATAACGCTTTTCAATAATCAAGACAAACATTGAAAAGCAACGAAAAAGATGTATCCAATTAGTGTGAGGACTGTGGTCGATCGGCTTCATCCACGAATGAAGAAATATCCACCTCCAGTTCAGTTGTAGACACTCCCATAAGATGATGCAAGGAAGAATCGGTAAGGTTGCTTCCGTTTTTATTTTTTATGTATTTCATGGAGGAAAAGGCACTTTCACATGTATATGTGCTTCCGAACATTGACGTCATTTTCAGTCCAAAATCTCGCAGGTTTGGGAATTTATCCTTTGACAGTAATTTGAAAAATTCAGGTCCCTTTTCTTGGCTGGTGATTAGGAACATGTCTGCTTGAAGATCACATAACTTAAGCTGTAGGTTGGGTGGTTGATAATCAATGGTTGCTCCAAGAGGGTTATTATAAAGTAGTACACTGCTTTTGAGACTTTCAATTTCATCAAATCTTGTATTGAATTCATTAATAACTTGTTCAATTTGTGAAATGCAGAATGAAAACTCAATATTTTCCTCACCGTTGAATTCTTGTGCTATTTGCAGACAGCTAGGGAAGGGTGTCAGGTTGTTCTTTTCCAAAGCACGTTTAAACATGTTCAGCTTATTCCGGAATACGTTTATCATTCCGATCAAATCTGAAACCGTCTGGTTTCTTCCTTGAAGACTCAAGTTTAACATGTTAAGATAATTAGTCAGATCTGTTATAAAAGCTAACTGTCTTAAGAATTTTGGATCCTTAAACTTCTCTTCCAGTTCAGTTGTGTCATATGAAACGTATTTGTTGAGGAATGCAGTGATTTCCTTTCTTATGGCAAAAAATCGTTCCATGCACTTTCCTGTACTCAGCCACCTTACATGGTTGTACATTAGCAAGTCTCCATACTCAGCCTCTGTTTCCACTAAAAACTGCTTACGTTGCCTGTGTAAAAGAGATCGATTTCCACCTCTAAGCATATTTATAATCTTAATCACGGTTTGGAAAACTTGATCTTCGTTGACTGATTTTCCACATAAACCTCTCTGATGTAGAATACAATGAATTGTTGGGCAAGTGACACCATTCTCTCGAAGCAGACCCACTAATCCAATTTTTTTACCTGTCATTGATGGGGCCCCATCTGTTGCTATGGCTGAACATTTATCAAAGCCTCCAATTCTGTCAACTGTTTTCTTCACACTCATAGATGTCTTTTCCTTTTGTTGTTCCATAAAGAGGACAAATATTAAATAACTCCTGTTTACTGGTAAAATCATCAAAAGTAGTGTGCACAAATATTAACAGCTGACTAACATCGGTTTGATCAGTGCTTTCATCCAAACAAAGTGAGAAATATGAACTTTTCTTAACCAGGCTAAGCATAGATTTTTCTTCTTTCTCACCCATAGCAACAATCGTTCTTTGTATGGTCTGATGTGAAAGTGGCACTGATTTAAATTTCTCCGCCATTTTAGAATCACCGAAAGCTTTGGCCATTTAAACAGCAATTTTTTTTTATCAAATTGCCATCAGTGAAAGGTTTTTTGCCTTTGCCAGCTCAAGCGACACGGCATAAGATGCATGCAAAGAATGCGTTTGAGAGTGTAATATTTTACTGAACATACCAGTTTGCTGTTTAAGCTTTTTCTTCAAATCTGCAACTAGGGCACGCCGACTTTCATTTGTGTACCTAGTATACTTATTTTCATGCACTGTTGTATAATGTCTTCTCACATTATATTCTTTAGGCACTGAAACGACATTCATGCACACTAAGTGCAACTTTCCATTATTGTTAGCAATGAAGTAATCACTCTCCCAACTTTCTTTGTAATTTCTCTATAAGAGGAATCAAGACAAAGAATTAATCAAGTTCACTGTTCACTAGCAACGTAATAGATTAGCCGACTAGCCTACGTGTCAGTAGCATACTGGCACGATGGCGGCTGGCGACGGATGGTAAGCAGTGGGAGGTATGGCCTGCATGAACTGTGATGCGCAGTAACCAGTGCAGTTCTCATAGTGATGGAGGACGATTGTGTTCGTTACACGTCCGCGAAACGGCACGCGGTACAGTACTTGTGATATAAAAACACTGCTACACCATAAAATATAAAATAAATTAAAAAATCTTTTTTCACGGTGGCAGCATTTAAAGAAAATATATGCTTTTCGAAAATCTTGGACAACCCTGATCTATATAAATTGTACTATAGGCATTTACTCTCAAACGAGTATAAATATCTTCCGAGCTATAGCTATTAATAAGTACACACACAGTTCGCAGTGAAAGTGATCGGTAGTGTCCGTTTTCAGGTTTTTAGGTAGTAAGGCGTACCCTAAAGCGCAGAGTCAGACGGTAGCCATAGGCCAACCAAAGTTCTGAACGGTTGGGACGTCCACTCTGCCTAAACAAGGCTAAAAACGAATTATATAGCAAAATTAGGATAACTTAAGGCATTTTGACAGGTTAGTGATTTATTTTTTCTTCCGGAGATTCTGTCAGTCACAGTGTAAACTAAGTAGGAGGTTTCAGTAATAAAGGCCACCTACGCAGGCTGTTGCTGGGGCTTCTAGCTTCCGGATTAGATTTAGACTAACATTGTCTTGATACTCAATTTTATTCGAGAAGAGTACTTATATACCACACAGGCTCAAATAACAAATAAGTACACACCGAGAGACAGTTAGCTTGAACCTAAAGTTGAGTATAGTCCGGCAACCCGTAAATCTGCACATTACACAAGGTTCAGATAAAGAGGTGTCTTCTAAGTCAAACTAGGTCCCTCTCTGCAACCAGGCCCCGTTCGACACGTTCTACCAGGTCAAACTACCTCAAATCGCCTTAACCACCTGATCCCCCTCAAACCGCTTCACACAGAAATACAAATTCACTCGACAACACAGCCTTTCCACCCTTACCCACACACAACACACCACCAAACAACACCCTTCCATTATCACTCAACCATGGATACACGCAGCCTACCCATTTTGCCAACACGTCACTCACACACCTTCCCACATCCCTGAAGACTCAACCACCCCTATCATGAATACATACATAGATTCATTCGTAAATAACCTTATATCCACCCTCCCAGTTGACCAGATTGACCCAATCTATCGGTGCTTTGCAGCTGTCCCGGTCATCGATCACCTCTATCTCTACCTTCCCTTCCACCACTACCCAAGCAGCCAAGCAACCGCAACTGACAGTAAATTCAAACCCACCACCTACAGCAAATAACAACACAGCCACCCATTTATCGTATAATACTGCCATACATACTGTGCCTAAACACATACCTACACCCAGAAACCCTACCCGTCCAACCACCCCCACATACATGGTGGTCGTCAGAGGCGTAGACAGGGTCTACTCCGATGCCGATTTTCAGAGATGGACATCCTCGTAGTTCGGCTATGGCGGATTATATCTCGTGCCAACCTCCCTACCTCCTTTGTCAAACTGGTCACCTCTAGTGAGTTCAAATACACAGAGATACTGACCAGGGGCATATTAATGGGTGAGCTCCGTCTCCATGTCGAGCTCCCCATAATTTTAACCCTGTCCCCCCGTGTCTAAGTACTGCGGCAAGTGCTGTCAAAACGGGCACACCATTGCGGAATGCCCACAGAAACAGTACAGATGTCAGACTTGTGGCCAGAACCACAAATCCACACCCTGTCCCACCCTTCAAGCTCCCAAGTGCCCTAACTTCGGCGGAGACCATGCGGCTTACTTAGCCAAATGTCCCGCAGGAAGAAAATCCCAAAATCCCTTCAAGAAACCCAACCCATTACCAAGGAAAAAAAGATCCCCCTATGATTTGTCTTCAGACATAATGGCAGTCATGGAATTTACCTCCCTTATCCTTATAAACCTCCTCCTGAATAGGCGACAGCTAATTCTAGATGTCACCTATCAACTCGCATCTCTGATGTTCGGCCACAAGAACACTCTTGTGGAGTGACAGCTTGTCGTGTGTTACTGTATTGAACGCTTTATGGTAATCAATGAATCATACATAAATATCGCAATTCACATCTGTACATCGTTGAGATAGCACTTGTATGCTAAAGAGAGCTTCTCTCGTACCCACTGCGTTCCGAAAAGCAAACCGTGTACAGCTGATTTTTTCTTCGCATAATCTATATATAAATTTGATATATGCTTTTTAGAAATAACTTTAAAATGTTGCTCATTAAGCTGACGGTCAGTAAATCATTGCAGGATACGGATTTTGTTTTCTTTGGTAGAGCAATAAACGTTGATTTCAGCCATGATCTTGGTACGAGTCCGTTTAAATATATGTCATTGAGTATTTTTGTTAGTCGTTGAGTACCGTCGGTGTTAAATAGCTTTATGAGTTCAGCATATGCATTGTCCGGTCCAGGAGCTTTTTCCATCTTTTAGTTGTAATATTACTTTTTCCACTTCATCTGATGTGATTGGTAAGTGGTCATTACATATGTATGACAGAGTTTGTTCGGATCTATTATCATCAAAGATATGTATTTGGTCCGTATGCAGATTTCTTGATTTTTATCTATGATGAAGTTCCCCTGTTGACCTTGTAATTTGCTGGTTGTGTTAGATTTTTAAAGACCAACTGCTTGTTTTACCTTGTTATGCATATTAAATATATCGTGTTTTTGTTCCAA